TACATATATATATATGTATGTGTGTGTGTGTGTGTGTGTGTGTGTGTGTGTGTGTGTGTGTTGTGTATACATATATGTATGTACGTGTGTATATACATATATGTGTGTGTGGTTTGTTTAAGCTTGTTTCTGACCAATTGTATTATACTTGTGGATTTGTAATATCTAATTTAAAAAAGATAAATTCTTGTTTTTTCCTGTTTGTTTTTAACCTCCTAGTAAAAGTACTTTGTCAACATGGGGCGGCTGTAACTGAGTGGTTAGAACAGTCCTCTTCCAACGCAAGAGTTTGGGGTTCTACTCCACCAGCGATCACTGAAGTGTCCCTGGGCAAGACACTGAACCCCTCATCGCCTCTGATGTGTGTCCCATCAGTGTATGAATGTGATAAAGCTCTGATAATTATTTGTATAGATCTAGTAGAGTGCTGTATGAATGGAGGCACAGATTGTGATGTAAAGAGCTCTGAGTGTCTTCATAAGATATAAAAGCACTGTATAAGTGCAGTCCATTACCATGGTTGCTTTTAAATGTGCTATATAAATAAAATGGATATTGACATCTTATAAAACCATTCTTGATCTTGTACTTATGGTCATTTACAAAAATTTACTAAAATGACTACATTTGTGCCAATTTTCTTTTTAAAATTATCTCAGTTTTAAACCGTCATGAAAAACAGTGAGCTAAATCCATTCCTTCAACAAAGACTAGTCTGTTAACTTTTAAAGGTTTCTTCCTACAGCTTCTGTGTAAATGTAAGAAAACAAATAAAAACAATCAATCGATACTGCTGAACGCAGCAGTGTTGTGTTTGCGCCTCCAGCCAAGGTTTACAGATGAAAAGAGCACAGTAATCCACACGGAGAAACAGAACACCGGTGGTAGCAAACAAACAATAATTATCCAACCTGCAGTCAGATACTGGACACTGAACATCCACAGCACATAGAGCTGAGTAACTTTTAGACTTACAGTCACTACAAATCTGAGAGGTCGTCATCAAAGCCTGGTTCCAATCCAACACTCTCCACAGACGTTTAGAAATAAATTCATAGTTAGCACTTTGAGTTTAAGGATTATATTTAAGATGTCATGGAGTGTTTCAAGTGCTGCAGAATGACAGTTTGGATGCCAGCAGACGTACAATCTGGTGCTGGATTCTTCCATCTGTTAGCTCATGTTGGACTATTTTACCAGTGCTTGCTGGGAAATATTTGAACTAAAGCAAAAAAAAGCCAGGCTGTTACTCTTTAACCTAAGTAAAACATGAAAAACATAAAAATCGTTGCACAGATTATAATTCAAATGCAATAAAAACGTGAAACACAAGAGCAACAACCCAGATGTCTTCAATGAGAGGTCATGATGTTTGTTTGAGCTCCTCATGGCACAGAGAATGAATCAGATCACCACACTGAGTCAGAGCATGGATGAGTTGTAAACTTACCAATCTCTATGGCCGACACAGAGATATTGTGCCAGGGCTGGGTTTCTCTGTCCAGCGGTCTGGTAGTTGTGATCATCCCATCCTCTGAAATGCTGAAGAACTGCTCCACATCCGTGTAAAGAGGAATCATGTATCTACACACACAAATCATCACCATTACACAGATTTATTCAGTGATACTTAACATTTAGCGCTTTCTGTAGCTAAACTGCTCTGATTGGTTAATAACAAGGATGCAGTGTTTAGTTGAGACCAGGGGTCAACAAACTTTACAACCAAAAGAGACATTTTCTCCATTTTCCTCTCTTTAACAATTAAAAGAATGTTTGAACAACACAACTCATTATTTTTATAGAAACTCTACATTTGAATCAACTAAATAGTTGCATCCTGAAATTTAGTAACTAAATAAACTGCTGATATTATCATTACGTTTACATTTTAGGACACAGGAAAAAATCCAACTCGTAATATGGTGAAAAAGACAACAAAATAACACCTTTGTTGTGCACGCTTTGATTACATTTCACTGGTTTATAGGGGCCTGTGAGTCCTTACTACCCAGTTCTGACATAATAAAAGCATAACATTGTATGAACTAAATTGCATAAACATAAATTCAGGACAGTGTTTTGATGTTTATTTGTGACTCCCTGAATTTAAGGACGACAGATACTTTCATTTCCGTGCACTTTTATGTTTTAGGAAAAGCAAGGCTTTACATCTGATTCTCATTGTTCTCAGAATGACCATCTTTTGACAGATTGCCTGATTCCAATGATTTGAAATAAAGTAATATGTTTGCAAAACTACACTTTGTGTTTTCTCCCCTCATCAACATAAAGACAAATGTGTAAAATGGATCATGGATATACATGTAGGGCAGCACGGTGGCGCAACTGGTAGAGCTGCTGCCTCTCAGCGAGCAGGTCCTTGGTTCAAACCCCGTTCCAGGGGCCTTTCTGGGTGGAGTTTGCATGTTCTCTCCGTGCATGCGTGGGTTTTCTCCGGGCACTCCGGTTTCCTCCCACAATCCAAAAACATGCATGTTAGGCTGATTGGTAACTCTAAATTGTCCCTAGGTGTGAGTGAGAGAGTGAATGGTTGTTTGTCTCGTTTGTCTCTATGTGTCCCTGTGATGGACTTGCGACCCGTCCAGGGTGTACCCCGCCCCTCGCACAGTGATTGCTGGACATGGGCACCAGCGACCCCCGTGACCCAAAATGGAATAAACGGGTAAAGAAAATGGATGGATGGATGGATATACATGTACACACACACACACACACACACACACACACACACATA